ACTTCCCCTACCCCTTTGGACCTTTTCTTCCTATTTCACATTATCAATTATTCATTTTAATCCTTATTTACACTTTCAGTTTCTCACACCAGAGAAAGTATTCAGTATTTACACGGGTGTCCTATTTATTTCACTTAAGAGTATGGCCTCAATGTGCATCCACCAGGGATCGAACTCAGGACCTTGCACTTACAAGGCAGGCACAGTGCCAAACCTTATATTTAAAAGCAGAATCACTCTGCCAGTTCAGACCCAGGAATAGTAGCTATTTGCAGGAAAGCTATTAAAGAGGTAGTCTCTAATGGACTAGGTCGTAAGGTTTATAGGTTAACAATGCTTCACATATTCTGGCTCCTGTAAATGACACAGATGAGAGCTAGAAATTCAAGAGCAAGGTCTGGCCTGGGTTGGCTGAAGTCTTAGCAGAGTGAATGTGCAGCCCAAAGAATAGCACAATGAGCCCCATCCAGGGGTCCTGCCTGGGTTTCAGGAAACCTATAACCCATGACAGGGTAAGGCTAGTCCCAGCAGTATCACATACCACATAGACACTCATATTAAAGTTTAAGTACACCAGTTAGATTGTAAGCTATAGAGGACAGGCTGCTTGTGTGTGTACACTCACACACCTGTATCTCGCTCCTGACTGAATCCTCACTGTCCAGAACACAACATGGCACATGGTAGACAATAAACGTGTTAAAAGAATGAATGAAGCTGGGGCAGGGAGAGGGGTTGGACGTAAGTCACTTCAGGGGCAGACAGATAGAGGACAGAATGGAGCACAGAAGAGAGGCAGATCTGAAGGGCAGGAGGCACCCGGCAAGACGGTGGGGTGGGAGATGGAGTGACCTCAAACTGAAGGGAATTTGGGCAGAGAAAACCTCAGCACAGAGAACCCAAGACAGCTGGTTTCCTGTCTGAACAGATGAAGAAGCAGAGTTGCTGTTAAGCTTGAGAGTGCTTCCGAAAATCTGGGCGTGGCTTCTTTAGTCTAGATTGTGGCTCCTGATAGAAAGGCAGCCCAATGGAAGGAGTGGCTCTTGGCTGTATCACCTCCAGAGAACAATTACTCAGTGGTTTACGCTAGTCATCTTATCTATCTTGTATATGCAATATATATATATATGCATAGTAGATAGGCGCTACAAAAACATGCTATTTGAGTGTAGTAGTGTGTATTTGCATACTCGTTTAGTGTCTTTCTAGGGAATGTCGGCTTCACTGCGGCAGGGAATTGAAACACTGACTGGCACCGGCCAAGGCTAACACGGACCCGGTGCTGAGTCCTGCGAGGCGGTCCGGGTCTCGGGCACCGTCCGCACACGCGATGCGACACGCGAGGCTGCGGAGTGGGTTACCTGCTGCAGCTGGTCCACGAACTCCTCGTGGCGCGCATTCTCGCTGCCGCGGGCCTGGATCAAGCTGGCGCTCACGTCCTCCCCGATCACCTCCACCGAGTACAAGTTGCGGAAGACTCGAGTGAGCAAGTGCGAGATGTCTTGGCTGCGCAGCGAGGAGGGGCGTGGACGCAGAAGCTGCGGCTCCGGGTGCGGCTGCTGCGCCAGGGACCCGACTCTGCGGGGCCGGGCCGAGAAGCTGTAGTGTAAGACCTCGGAGAGGGCGACAGAGGACGGCAAGGAGGACTTCCCACTGATCTGGTTGGAGCTAATGGACCCGGCCAGACGCGAGGTCTGTGACGACTTTGTCAACTCGTACTGGGATTCCTCAGACCTCCGCGCCTCTCTGGTGCTGATCTCCATGGCAACTGAGACGCCGCTAACTTCTCCTCACAGCACTTCAGCTTCCGGCGCCGCCCCTTCCGCTTTGCCTCCCTCTTCGTCTGCGTCCCAATGGTGTCCTCATCGGAAACTCTCGCAACCTCACCGTTACCCCTTTTTAAGGACAGATTAGTAAATATAACGGCTGGGGATTTAGCTCAGCGGTTTTGCCGCCTGCTGCGCAAGCGCAAGGACCCGAGTTCGATTCCCGGTACCCCCCCCCCCAAAAAAAACCAGTTTAGTGAGTATGAGGTATCTATGGAGAAAAGGGCAAGATACAGTCAGGCCAGTCTGATTGCAAAGCCAGGTTCTGATTACCTGCCTTCATACATTTATTCTTTACTGTGTCCATCAGTTGTTCATTCACTCATTTTATATTGGTTGTATAAAGATTCTGTTTCAGGCCCTGTGCTGGGAGCTCAAGATACCAAAGGAAGTAAGATGCTGCTTCTGTGTGTGTGTGTGTGTGTGTGTGTGTGTGT